GAGGGGACGTGACCCTAGAGCTCTTCGCCAGCAGGTCACCCCCAAGCCCCACCCCCCTCAATGACAATGTCTCTAAGATACAGACTTATTATTACTTCCCAGGGTTGAAGTTCCCCAAGACAGGGAGACAGAGGGGCCACACAAGCCTGAGTGGGGACAAGTGCTCCAGCAGGCAGGGTCATCCTGGCCGGGGCCTGGGGCCTGGGGCCAGCTCTGGGCTGGGGGAGCCTCTGGGTGGGGTGTGCCAAGCGGGCACAGCAGTGGCCTTATGGCTGTGGGGCAGTCCTGGGCAGCGGGCAGCAGTCCCACTCCTGTCGCACGAGGGCCCAAAGCTGGGCACTGGCCCTGGGCCTCGCCTGGGGTTCCCGGGAGGGGTGAGTGCCCTGCCAAGCCCCTCCCTGCGGCGTTTCTAAGAGCCCCCACTGAGGCCTTGATGAGAGGGGGTGGCCAGTCACCTGGGGGCTGTCCCACCACACTTCTGCCCCTGTGCAGGCCTAGTGTCCCTCCTGCCAGTGCTCTCCATGCCACCCTACAGGGTGGAAAGCAGAGCAGGTCAGGAGGTGGCCCCAGGGCCCTGCTCCTACTCACACCATCCTTCCCTGTGACCCTTACCATAGAGTCTGGCCCCCTACAGGACACCCATGCCCAAAGAGGACAGGCAACCAGGCAGCAGAAGCAAGAGCACTCCCCACTCAGAGCCACCAAGCTCATCAGCCCCAGGGCCAGGCTGGGCCATTGGTGAGTGACCCCACGCCCCCAGTGTGAGGCTGCCCAGCTTCCTCTTTTGTTGTTTGTGTTGAAGGGTGAGCGCAACACATTCACCAAGCAGGAAACAGCCCCGCACCAGCCCAGCTAAGGCTGCCACCATCGGCCAAGCACCATGTCACCAGGCCCGTCCCCTGGGCTCAAAGGCTGGCACACGTTGCCTGCCCTCTCCCTGCACACCTACACATCTCTTCCAGGCTGTCCCCATGGCCAGCACAGGTCCTCCTTAAGGGGGACACTTGGTGCTCACTGGTCAGGCTAAGGGCATAGCAGGGCCCCCGGGGAGCACCTATGGCCAACCCACACCTGACCCCAGGGAAACGGAGGCCCAGGGAGGCTGGCAGCACTGCTCACAGGTTCAGGGGCCTCTGGGGGGCTTCCCTCAGTGGGTCTGCAGAGCAACTCCCACCTTTGCACTCAAGCAGTTGACCTGCAACCCTTGCTGTGCAGGCTGACACGGGTCACCAGGCCCCACAGACTACCTTCCACTCATGTCCGCTCAGCAAAGCCGCGGCCTCCCAGGAGAAAGGGAGCTGGGCTGTATCCTCAGAGTGCAGACCCCCGCCCACACAAGGACCCTGGGACTAGCTGACAGCATGGCCAGGGCCACAGCTGGGCATGCACGGGGGTCTGTGTCACTGAAGTGGACCACTCTGCACCCCAGAGCCCCCCACAGGGACAGCCTGTGCCAGGACCTCAAGACTGAACCAGAGTGGGTGGGAGGGAGACAATACCCAGGAGGCCCTCAGGGCCAGAGCCAGGCCTCAGTATCCCCACTATGCCTGAAGGGGTCTGGGTCAGGGGGAAGGTCCATGCAGGATGGGGCATCCTGGCCCCGGGCAGAGGCCTAGCTTCCAGGCGTTAAGTTAAACTGAGGCCAGGCCTATGTCTGCAATCCAGCTACGCAGGAGGCTGAGGCAGGAGGATGGCAAGTCCCAGGTCAGCCTGGGCAACTTAGCAGCAAGACCCTATCTCAAAACAAAAATTAAAAAGGGTTGCGAGGGGCTGGGGATGTGGCTCAAGCGGTAGCGCGCTAGGCTGGCATGCGTGTGGCCCGGGTTCGATCCTCAGCACCACATACCAACAAAGATGTTGTGTCCGCCGARAACTAAAAAATAAATATTAAAAAAAATTCTCTCAAAAAAAAAAAAAGGTTGCGAACGTAGCTTAGTGGTAAGTAAAGCACTACTGGGCTCAAGCTCAGGACCACACATATAAGAGGAAAACCCAGAAAGTCCAAATGAGGTCCCAACAGGCCTCCTACACACACCCAGGCATACACACCTTGAAGACCCACTCAGGTGACCACATCTGGGAGAGGGGACAGGCTGGCTCCCTCCACCTCCACCCCATGGCCTCAGGCTGCTTCCTCTGCTGGGCCCTGCTGGCCCCTGGGAGACTGGGAGGTGCCCACTGGTCAGCACACACTTCTACTTCCAGAGTTCATCCTGACCCAGCCTCCTGGCCACCCTCCCCTCCCTCTCCTCATCGGGCCACCTGCTGTGAGTCAGGGACACTGAAGACAAGCATGGCCAGGAGGACGACAGTGGGGTCCTTGGCTGGAGGCTTGACCAGAGCGGCTGTCCACAGGGCAGGGTGGAGCGGGACCTGTCAGCACTGGGGCAAGGAGACAAAGGTGGCCCAGGCTTTGAGGGGACCACACTCCAAAAGCAGTGGCGCAGCCGGCCTGTTGCACAGCACAGAGCTCTCCACTTGAAGGCCAAAAACTGGGTGCCCTGGGCCAAGCCCAGCCACCTGCAAACTGCCCCAGGGTGGCTCCTGAATGCCTGTTCCCAGGAGCTCACCTGAGGCAGACCTCTGGAAACGGGAAGCGGGCAGCACTGATCTGGCCTGGCCACCCACCGGGTGGTACTGCAGCTTCCTCCACAACCCACCTGAGGCTGCCTGGTTGGGCCACCTCCCCACGAGCTCTGGCCCTCAGCAGCTTGCATCCATGATCCCGGGATGGCTCCCTGTTAGACACATGGGGACGTGGAGGCCCAGGGGTGCCTGGCCAGCTGCAAGTCTGTCAGCAGCTCTGGCTCTGGTGTGGGTGATTCCGGCAGGCATGTTCTGAACGCAGCCTGGGGCCACTCCCCAGAGATGGGTGCCCACCACCTCAGTGGCAAGAGAAAGAGCCTGGGCCTGGTCTGCAGACATGGCCGTCTGGCCCCTCATTTGTGGTAGGACACCCATCCACTCTCATCCCCATACCTACACAGCCCCAGAAGGCACGGTCACCCCACATGGGGCCAGCCCAGGTGGCCATGGTGGGCTGTGCCTGGGGACTTGGGCTGAGAACCAGTGTATTCCAGGTCCCCGATGAGGGGAGCCAGCAGAGAGGCAGACCCAGGCCCACCCTGGACAGGTCACTCCCCAGGTGGCAAAGACAAGTGGCCAGGGCATCAGAGGGCTGGAGGGCCTGGAGGACACCTGTGTCCCCCCCCCTCCCACTAGGAGGTCCAGGGCATTCAGAAAGCAGGGCAGTCCAAGCAAGGGCCCTGGGCCAGAGCAGAACTCAGAGGGACCATGCCCGGCCACCCTGCTAGAGCCCATGCCCCTGGGCTGGGGCTAGAGGAAGACGAGTGGGGCTGGGGACAGGACCCTCTCCCCTGGTGTGGCTGGCACCAGGCAGCAGGGCCTGGAGGCTGCTGAGACTGCCTGGATGGCAAGCCCCACTTAAAGGATCCCCCTCCATCCCACCAGGACAGGGCGTCTCAAGCAGGGGGACCCCCACAGACCACGAGCCCCCTGCACCAGGTCTCTGCCCCACCATTCCCACTGTGTAAATGGGGAAGCCAAGGCCCGAGGTGCTGGAGGTGCACAGAGCAGCCCCATGGGGTCTCTCGGATGCCCCCTGGGGCCCACTTGCCCCCCCCCCCAGGTCCTTTCTGAAGGTACAACCAGAGTGGCAACCTGGTCACCAGGAGCCCAGGCCTCAGAAGTGCTCCTACCCAAGTCTGGCTGGCTGCCACAGGCCCTGTGTGACTGGGGCCAGGCACCTCCTGGGTTGGCCCTACATCTAACAGTCACTCAACAAGCATTCACCAAGAAAGCAGACTGTTTGGGGCACAGAAAAGGGTCAGGGGTCAGGGCTATGAGATGAGGCAAAGGGTGAGATGTGGCTGAAGGGCCTGGGAGAGTAGGCAATGGCTCCATGGACCCAGGCCCAGCAACACTGACCAACCGAGCTCCAGCACACAGCTGACCACACCTTCAATCCCCACCTCAAGCCCTGGGCCCTGGCACCTCCCAGCCACCCTGCAGCCTCCTCCAGTAGCTCCCAGACCTGCCCTGCTGGGGGGCTCCCGTACGTCCCCTAGAACCCTGCCTCACGATACCCACTTCCACCATGACTCCCTGTCTGGGGGGCCTGGGGCTGCCTCCTCCCCTCAAGACACGGGGTTCATCTGCTGGAGGTGGAGTGCGAGGAGTGGTGAGCTGCTGGCACGGATCGCCAGAACTTCCCGGGGAGCAGGTTTGCAGGAAGAGGAAGTCAGAAGGGGGCAGGCTAATGCCCGCCCTGGTACAATAGGGAGTGGCTGGCCCAGGACCCCTGGCTGTGAAGCCCACCTCCAGCAGGACAGAGGGGAGAACAGCAGGAAGGCGAGGGCTGCATTCAGGTCCTGTTCCCCTGCTCCTTGCTGGGCCCCTTGGGCAGCGCCCTTCCCCTGGGCTGCGGGGCTGCAGGAGTGGGAAGGCAGGGGGCGGCCAGCTCTGCAGCTCCAACACAAACAGGCCCCAGTCGGCCAGGGCCCTGGGTGGAGCAGAACCCCCTCCCCGGAGTCCAGGCCTCAGGTGGGCAACAGGCCAAGCCCAGCAGCCTGCCCTGCCCTGCCCTCAGGAGCCCTTGGGCAGTGCCTCAGGCTGCCAGCGTGCCAGGCCTGGAACTGCTGGGTCCTCACCGCCTTCCAGGAAAGCCAGGAGGAAGGCTGGAGCGGCCTGGCGTGCCCCGCCCACCAGGCCCTGCCAGGCAGGGGCCCGAACAGCAGGCCCTGCACAGGGCCTCCCCTCCCACTCAGGAGGCCCACAAGGCTGTGACCTCCACACTGTGGAGGGGTGCTGGGTCCAGGAGCCTCAGGAAAGCGGCCCCTCCTCCCAGCTGGCCTGGCACAAGCCCCCACACCTAAAGGAAGCCCACAGGCCGGTGGCCCCACTGGCTCCAGGACCCCAGGTGGACCAGGGCTCACTCCCTGGCCCTGCCCCCCAGGGCCAGCCTGAGGGCAGGCACTGACCTCGTTTGTGTAGCCACCCCTCTTTCACGATGGCCACGTCGTTCATGGTGTCCGTGGCCCCTGCTGGCCGGGGTGGCCCAAGGGTGCAGACACGCTCCTCCAGCAGGCTCCCTCTGGGCTCTGGCGGCCTAGCTGCAGCCTCTGGAAGAAGCAAACAGAGAGTGTGTGAGGGCCGTCTGCTGGGGGCGCCCCCCAAGCTCTCAGAGAGCCCCGGGGCCACGCTCCTCGCCATCTTAGCCAGGGTCTGCCTTCCCTGTGGCCCCTCCCGGCTCCCAGCCCCCATCCTCACCCACCCTCCTCTGCCAGCCAGCCTACCCCCGACAACACCAGACCAGGCAGAAGCCCACGCCACTGGACACTGCTCCCCAAACCCATGTGCTCAGAGCAGCTGCCACCTCACCTCCCAGGTCTAGGTGCAAACCACTTCCACCCCAGAAAGCCCTCTGGGGTATCCCAGCCTCCTCCACCTGCTGCACCAGCTGAGAGAACACCTCCTCCAGGCAGCCTTCTGACCCTTTCACCAACCCTGATGACAGTGACCCTCTCTGCTCTCCCTGTCCAGGTCATTTCCAGTCACAGGTTGAGATCCCCAGGGCAGGGCCCCAGGGCTCCTCCCTCCTGCTCCCACCACTGGGAAAGCAGAAATTCAAACAAGAAGGCAGGGCCAGGAGAGCAGCGGCCGAGCCCTCCAGGGTGAGACTGAAAACCTCCCCAGGCCCCTCCTAAACCACAGAGCCCCTGCCACTCTGAATCTGGTTCATTCATTCAGCCAACATGTACCAGGCATCTCTGGTTTTGCCAGGCCCCGCACTGGGGCTTGGGGACAAAGAGATGTTCAGATGGTCCTGTTAGTAAGGAGCACCCAGAGCAGGGTGGTTTCAGACCCATAATTACAGCATTCAGGAGGCCAGGGACCGGGAGGAGGGGCACTGAACAAGCCCCTGCCCTGCAGTGGCCTACCAGCCAGCCATCACCAAAGTACACTTTGCCCATTGATCCCACAGGGCCCTCTCCACAGCTCCCAAGCTGGAAGAACTCCTAGGCATCCCTCAAAGCCCCGTTCCCACGTCACCAACTCTGGGCATCCTGGAAAAGAGTGCTCAGACACTCTTCCTGCCAGCAGCCTTCCAGGAGGGCACTCTAAAGACAGGCTCAGGAGAGGCCCCTGAGGACCACTGTGCGATGGATCCCAACACAGCAGCCCAGACACTGCCACAGGCCACCTCTCTGGCCTCCTGAGGTACAGGATAGGCACCCCCTGAGAGTCACTTTGCCTTAACTGTCTTAAACTAACTTGACACAGCAGGAAGGCCCTGCTGCCTGGGTCAAACGTCCCAACAGGGAAGACCACGCCTGGCCCTGAGGAACTCTGAGGAACTCCAGGTGCTCAGCAGGTCCTGCGGGAGTGTCAGGAAGCAGGACTAGAGGGCTAGGCCCAGCAAGGGCCCACAGGGGGATCTCTGGGCGTGGCCTGCAGGCAGAGCTGGACTGGAAAACTCCGATGTCCCCCACCCCACGTGCCAGGCCTGAGGCCTGCTACTGACAGTCAGACAGCTGTCCAGAGATGTATGTAAAAATATATCCATGCACACAGCAGTGTCCACACCAAATCAGAGGCATGGCCTCTGCAGGGACCCTGCCTCTGGGCTCTGTGGCACACGCCTCACCATGAGGGCATATTGTTGCTATTATTACTGAAGTCACAGCATTTATAGAAACACAAGGCTCTGAAGAGCTCCCTCCCAGGACAGGTCTGTGAGTGGCATGTTAGGCTGGGGCCCCATCAACATGCCCCGCCCTTCACTTGGGTGAGGGGCTCTGCAGGCAAGACTGGCCCTCTGCAACCAGGCCATGGGGGCCCAGGAATGGACAGGGGGTGGGGATCTGGCCACAGAGCACAGGCCTTAGTCCACCAGCTTACGATGGCCCAAATCAGGAATCAGTCCCACCGGACATGTCCACCAGCTGGCCCAGGATCCCAAATCCCTGGGGCAAGCCCCAGTGGCTCCAGGCCTCCAGAACCCACCCAGGGCAGGAAGCAGTTCCGGGCCCAGAGGGCCAGCAGTCCTTTGTGGGCTAACCTGGGCACCCTGCCCCCACAGACAACTTTTGTCCACGGGGAACGAGGTCTCCCTTCCAGGTCCTCCCCAGGCTTGCAGGCCGCCCGGGGCGAGCCTTCTCCTGGCCCCCAACCACCCTTTCTGCCGCCGCCTCCCGGGCCCCCGCGCCCCGAAGCGCTCCACTCCCGGCGCGGGCCCCTCGCGGCGGCGCGGCTGCCAAGGTCAAGGGGCGGCCTGGCGGGCGGACGGCACCCCGCGCCCCGCGCGGGCCTCCAGCGCGGCCGGCCTGCGCCCCGCGCCTCGCGCCCCACGCCCAGGCCGCCGCTCGGCCACTTCCTGCTCGGCCGCCGCGGCCCGCCCGCGCCGCGGCCCTGCCGGGAACAAAGCGGCCCCGCCACGGGGCAGATCGGGCGCGGCGCGGGCACTCACCGGGCCGCCGCGTGCGGGCGAGCGGGGCCTAGCCGGGCCGCGGCCTCCGGCGCCCGCCGCTCCGCATCCCGCGGGCCGGCGCTGGGCGGGGCCGGCTGGGGCCGCGGCGGGGCGGGCGCTGCTGGCCGGGCCTCGCGAGGCGCCGCGGTGCCGCCGGTGCGCGCTGCTSGCTCGCGGCCGCCTGCTCCCGTTCTCCGGGCGCGCTGGCTGCGCTGGGCAGGCCGCCCGCCGCCTCGGTCCTGAGCCACCGCCGCCGCCGCCGCCGGCCCGCCCTCTCCCCGCCCCGCGCCCGCCCCGCGCCCGAGCCGCCGCCCACATCCGCCTCCGCCGCCCCGGGCGCCCCCAGCGCGCGGCCGTCGGCCAGGGCGGAGCGCGCCCGGCGAGCGCGGCGGGCGGACGGGCGCGGCCCTCGGGTGGCCTGCGGCCAAGGCTGGGCAGTAACGGAGGCCCGCCGCGGGAGTGGGCCGGCCACCGTCGGCCTGTCCCGGGGCCACATCCTTTTGGGCCTCCGTTTCCTCGTTTATAAAGTAACGCGGCTCTCCTTTGCCCAGCTCCCACGCGCCCCTATCCAGACCTGGGTGGGGTGGGGGAGGTTAATTTGACTTTCACAATGTGCCCCAAGTGTGCACGTCCCTGTACTGGGGCCAGGGAGGGAGTGGCCACTAGTGTCCTAAAGGGAGGAAGGGGCGACTCAGTCATTTCTCTCTGCTCTGACAGCCACTAAAGCAGATGGAGGACTTTGCAGGTGACAGAGGGAGAAGGGGGTCCACCTGGCCTGGGTCCCAAGCAAGCTGGATTCAGATGCCTGGATGAGGAGCTGTGTGCTGCAGGGTTGTGGGGCCAGAGACAGCCCAGGATCTTTCTCAGAAGGACCCAGCACCCAGTCAGCAGAAGGGTTCCATCCGGTTTCCTGAGGGAATTAGAGAACCTACTCCTGGCCAGGGGGTCCACCACCCTGCTCCTGCCTGAGGCCCAAGGAGATAATGACCCTTGGCAGAGGAACCAATGAGCTCCTCCTTGAGTGGTGTCTTTGGGGAGATGCCATTTTCACTTTTCATTCAAAGGTCAGAATTCAGCTGGAGGAGGCAGATTCAGCCCACCTTGCCACTAACACTCCCCAGGGAAGGACTCCCCCTGCACACCAGGGAGTGGCTCCTCCCTGAGGCTGTTCTGCTCCCTCTCCAACGCAGCTGACCCAGTGACTGCCTAACCCCAGACGTAGACTTGCCTGGAGGGAGCCTAGTGAGAGGCCCAGTATGCTGCTCAGACTGGATGCCCCCAGAACCTGGGCCTTAGATATCTGTCCATTACTCAATATATGTTGACCCTGGCCACAAGGTCCCCCAGGGCTGATTCTCTAGGCTGACCTCCAAATGGCCACTAGGAGCCATCAGGGCGCCCTCTTGTGGAAGCCTGTGATTCCCTCTGCTCTCTGGGGCTGGTCTCCAGAAGGCCTCCCTGTCTTCTCTAGCCCCTTGGTCTGGCGTGGGCAGTTAGCCCATGCCTGCTGTGAGCTGTGCACCCATGCAGCAACCAATCCTACCTCTGTCTCTGAGTCTACCCTCCTCCCAGTTCTGGGTCTCCCGGTGGCAGGGCCACCCTTCTTCTCTGACCTCCCAGAAAGAAAGCAAAGCCCTCTCTTTGGAATATCCCTCTCTCCTCCATCAACACAAATGCTGAGGAGAGGACCCAGCCCCATGACTCAGCCTGGCTGCTGCTCTGACTGAAGTGCACTACAGCCAGCTGTTTCCAACAAAAACTGTGGCACTGGCCCCTGGAGAGTGCAGCCACCTGCCACTCCTGGAGTACGGACCTCCAGTCCTGTCACCTTCTGCAGCTGCAGGCTGTGCTGGCCATTGGGCAGGACACAGGCTGCAAGGTCTCAGCAGCAGCTGCAGGGCGGGGCCCTGAGGCAGCTCCCAGACCAGATGGTTGGCCTGAGTCTGGAGAGGTACTGCCCACACCACTGTCACCCCAACTAGGGCTCTGTGGTGGCGTCCTGTCATCTCTGTACCTGAGACCCAGCATGGTCCCCAGCACCAACTCAGTGCTGCCTAGACCAGCCTGTCTTTCAGCACAGGGCGAGCAGTGGGTACTTGAAGTTAGATCTTCTGACCTAAGAGGTGCAGGGCCTTCTTGCCACTGTCCCCTCCTCTTCTCTGGCCTATCCCTAGTTGGGCAGGCCATCCTTGTATTGCAAGCCTCCTTTTGACCATCTCTGCACTGCTATCTCTTGGTTCTGGAGGCAGAGCACAGCAGTGTCCAGTCTGAGGAGATACTGGCTAGATAGCTGCCATGGAGGAGCTGGGCACGGCTACTTGACACTGAACACCCCTCTGTGCCCATCCATGCACTCGGCAGTGGACACAGCAACCTGGGCTCTGACACGGGAAGGGATGCACCTGACCACACTGCCCAGGGAGCACCCTGGAGAAGGCCAAGCAGGAGTGGAAAGTGGCCTCAGGGTAGGGAGGGTCAGGGAAGACCATGCTAAGGAGGTGATCTCTGGTCAGAGACAGGAATGAAGAGGAGCCAGTAAAGGGCTCTTTGGGGGAGAACATTCCAGAACCTGAGTGACCAGCACTGCAGAGGCTCCGAGACCTTGCTGTGGCCAGGATCTGCAGTTAGCTTTTGCAAAGTCCCCTGCATGTGTTCTGTTTCCTGCTTTGCAGATGAGGATCTTCAGTGTCATGCAGTTAAGGCCTGTGCCAGGCTGGGGGAGCTTTGACTTAGGTGGTCCTGCAGAAGGTCAGACCTGGGCTCACCCTAAGCTCAGCTGCTCCTGCTGGGCAGGGTGGTGGTAGAAATACTCAAGAAAATGGAGGGAGAGAGTGGCTGTCTTCAGAAAGGGGTCTTCTGAGAGGGCAGGGCTCTCTTGCCCCTAAACTGGTCTTGGTGGCTTGGTGCAGTGTGATACCAGGGTTCCAAGCTGCAGTTGCAGATTTAGGAAATGAAAATGCAGGACATCTGGTCAAATTTGAAGTTCAAATAAACAAGAAATAATTTTCTAGTATAATAGTAGGACTTTCCTTCTCTTATGCTCTAGATCCTGGCTTCAGTAGCCTCCAGCGCCTCTGGCATCCCCTCAAGCCCCCAATCTTCCAGGTTTGAACAAGACTCTGGGGCTCCCGCCCACCCCCACAAGCCAGGAGTTCTCCCATCTCACACTCCATCACTATGCCCTCCCTCCATGCCTGAGGAGAAAAGTTGGGGGCGCCCCACTTCCCCTATCCCACAGATAGCCTCTGTCCATCCTGCTTGGATACCTGGTGGAGACCCTGACCTTTGTGCTCCAGGCCCTCTCCCAGTGCCACCTCATCCCCACTGAAGGCACCCTTCCACATCCACCCTACACCAGCCCTGGCTGTGCCCACTTTGCTCCGTGCCCTCCACCGCTGGGCTGCCTGGGCTGCCTGGGCATTACAGGCTGGGAATTCCAAATGAGTCTGCTTGGATTGGACTCCGGTTCAGCGGCAGCACCTGCTGTGTGTCCCTAGGCACAGCTCCTGCCCTCCCTCACCTAAAAGAAGGACAAATAAGAGCATCTGATTAATGGGGCCCTGAAGCTGAACTAGGCACTGCCCAGAGTCCCTTTAGACCATGTCCCTGAGAGAAGCTGACCAGCCAGAAGTACAGCCCTCTGCAGGAGAGGGACTCAAGCCCCCCCAAAACACACACACACACACACACACACACAACTCCATTGCTGCCAGGCTGTACTTTCTCCAACAAGAACCAGGTGCCTCCTCTCACCCTCCGACCCTGCTTTCCCTAGAACACCTTCTCCAAGTCTCTCCTCTTTGAGCACTTTCCTGCCTACCCTGGCTCTGCTTGTCGTTGTGGCCTGTTCATGTCCCACCCTGTCTCCCCAGAGGTACCCAGTTCTATGCATCCAACCCATAGCTGAGCTCTCCTGGCCTCCAGTCTAGGGTAAGGGCAAGGAATCTCCTGAGCTGGGTTCCAGTGGGATCGAGATCCCGCTCAGCGCCTGGAAGTGGGGGAAATTAACTTAAAGGGAAGCTTCCTAGGAAGAAGGGGATGTCATCTTTTCAGGATTTATGATCTCCCTCCTGCGCCCCTCGCCAGCTCCAAAGCCAGTGCCTCCTCTAGGTGGCCTGAGGCCCGGGTCCCGGCTGTGCCCTCAGTGCTCAAGCGCGGGCCAAGAGAAAAAGTGGGCATCCCGAAAGGGTCCCTTTGCAGAGTAGTGCAGTGGGGACCCCAGGGGGAACGCGGAGACCGAGGCTGCAAGTATCGCGAGAGAGCCCCCCATTCTCCCTCCCACACGCCCCGCGGTGTCCGGCACCCCCTTCCACCGCAGCGCCCTAGCTGGCTGCGCGCGGGACCCGCCCGGTGGGGCTGACAGGGAAGGGTGGCGAGGTGACCTCAGCGGTTCCGCCGCTCCGGGAAGTCGCCTCGGCCCGCCCCCTCCAGCCCCCGCCCAGAGTTTCGCTCTCGGGGCGGGGCGAACGGCGGGCGGTGCCGGGCCGGCCAAGTTGGAGAGCGCCCCGCCCGGCGCCCTCCCGGTCCCCGCGCCCTCCCCGCCGGGGGACGCTGTCCGTAGCTCCGTGCGCGTCGGGCCTCACCGGGAGGGCGCGCAGCGCGGGCGGCGACTGGAGAGCAGCGCGGGCGGTGGAGGTGAGCTCGGGGACGGGCTCCCGGCTCCGCCTGCCCTGCCACCGGCCCGCTTCCCGCGGCCGCGCTGCCATAAATGGGGCCGGCGGCGGTGGCAGCAGCTGGAGGACTGGGCGGCAGCTGGAAGCTGCGCGGAGGCGCGGGGCGGAGGGGGCGGCCCGGCGACTCCGGCGTCGAGGGACCCGGCGGACGGGCGGGCGCCCCAGAGTGAAGTTCAGGGCCGGGGACTCACACAGGTTCGCGCCGGGGGCCCCTCAGAGCGCGCCCTGGGCCCCGCCCCCGCGGCGGTGTGGCTTCTATTTACTTTCGATCGAGTTTTTCCTGCTCGAGGCAGGTGCCCAGAGAGGCTCTGGGCTGGCGGTTGCGCGCGTCACTCCCGCGCGGCTCTTTCCGCGCCGCTTGCACCGGGAAAGAAGATCTTGTCGGGCTGCCCAGGAGCGACCGGTGGCTGCGGTGTCGCCAGGCGCGCTGACAGGCGTCCCGTTTGTGCCCAGGTGATGACGGCGGCAGCATGGAGTTCCCGGAGCACAGCGGCCGGCTGCTGGGCCGCCTGAGGCAGCAGCGCGAACTGGGCTTCCTGTGCGACTGCACCGTGCTGGTGGGCGACGCGCGCTTCCCTGCCCACCGCGCGGTGCTGGCAGCTTGCAGCGTTTACTTCCATCTCTTCTACAGGGACCTGCCGGCAGGCAGCCGCGACACGGTGCGGCTCAACGGCGACATCGTGACGGCGCCCGCCTTTGGCCGTCTGCTGGACTTCATGTACGAGGGCCGCCTGGACCTGTGCAGCCTGCCTGTGGAAGACGTGCTGGCGGCAGCCAGCTACCTGCACATGTATGACATTGTAAAGGTCTGCAAGGGCAGGCTGAAGGAGAAGGACCGGGAGCTGGACCTGCAGACCCCTGCGCCTGGGGCAGAGCTTCCTGGCAGGCCACCATGTCCCCTGTCTGCATGGACCCCTGATGTCTGCCCAGCTGCCCAGAAGGCCAAGCTTCCTAGAGTAGGGATCAAAGCTGCAACTGGGCCTCCTCCTTGGCAGGCCCTAGGACAGTCAGAGGGGGCCCTGGACCTGTCCTTGAAGCCTGGCCCAAGACAGGAGCCAGTCCATCCACCCTTCATCCTACAGACACCCCTCCGCAGCCGGATGCAGCAAGGGGCCCAACCACTGGTGAAGGAGGAGCAGAATTCACTGCCTGAACAGGAAGATAGAAGTGTCCTTCAGAACCCCTGCATCCCGCCACAGCCAGCCAGCGTTCCTGCAGCCCGGGATCTGGCGGTGGACTTGGAGCCGCTGCCCATCCTTGGGGCAGGCAGCCAGGAGCTCGAGCAGGATGCTGAGCGGGTGGTGGGCATGGAGGAGCTGGGCCCTGGGGGGCATCTCTGCATCTGCCCACTGTGCTGCAAGCTGTTCCCCAGTGCCCATGCACTCCAGCTGCATCTCAGTGCTCACTTCCGTGAGCGGGATAGTGCCCGGGCCCGGTTCTCACCCGACAGCGCTGTGCCCACATGCACGCTCTGCAGCAAGACCTTCTCATGCACGTACACCCTGAAGAGGCATGAGCGGACACACTCGGGGGAGAAACCCTACACGTGTGTGCAGTGCGGCAAGAGCTTCCAGTACTCCCACAACCTGAGCCGGCATGCCGTGGTCCACACCCGCGAGAAGCCACACGCCTGCCGCTGGTGTGAGCGCCGTTTCACGCAGTCTGGGGACCTATACCGCCACATCCGCAAGTTCCACTGTGGCCTTGTCAAGTCCCTGCTGGTGTGATGCATTCCCTGGGGCCCTGAGGTCAGTGGGAGAAAAGGGGCAGGGCCCTTCCAGGTGGGACGGGGATGGAGTCAGAGTCTGGACAGGTGAGGCCCAAGGCTGCCGGCTCTGGAGCAGGCGGGTGGCTCATAGCCTTCCTCCTTCCAGGCGCCCACCGCCTCCACTCCCCTGCCCCTGTGGTTGCTCCCTGCAGTTGTGCCCCCACCAGACCCCTCCAGCCATGTCCCAGAGGTGTTGACTGGCACATGCTTGGGCCTGGGCTCCTTGGTGTGAGGCGGCTCAGGGGTCCTGTGTCTTGGTACTTTGAGACAACCCTCTGGCATGCTCAGGGGTGTCCTCGTGAGCCTGGTGCCATGGTAGGGGAATGACTTGTGTATCAGAAAGGTCAGTGAGTCCACAGCAGGGTGTTCAGAGGACAGGTCACTCCTGGGGAGTGCCAGCAGGGACTGCCTGGGTAGAGCTGGTATCCCAGGGGGTGAGCCCTACAGGGGCCCTGGGGCAGCCAGAGAGCCTACTAAAACTGAGTGTTATTGTCAGCTATTGGAGTTATTGTTACAGAGTGAATTTCAGAGCATGTGGCGCTGACCACACTGTAACTTTGGACAGAGAAAGTAGGAATTTTGAAATGGATTCTCTTTAGATCCAGAAAGAGCTTCCTACGACTACCAGATGTCTGCCAGAGGGAAGGAGGCCTGAGAACCACACAGGGTGCCTCCTCGCAGCCCTGGGGTGACGAGGGAGCTGACAGTGGCAGTCACTACAGGAGCCAAGCTCTGTGTGTTGGAGGTGCTGCTGGGATAAGGGTCGCTTTCCTCCGAGGGAAGGGTCTCCCCGGAGCTGTGGTTACTGAGCACATGGTCGACGGCTGCCCTGCTTCAGCAGGAACAGTGTTTGCAGAGCCCCCTTTCCCTGTGGGGCATGGCAGGAATGGCCGTCACATGGAAGGGGAGGCAGGCGTCTTGTGGGCTGGAGCCATAGCACCCCCACCCGCCATGGCTGCTGGCCTTGAATGTGAAGGGCCACCCTTGCCCTATCCTCTGCCCTACCCCTGCATTTGCAGTTGTTCCGGGTTGAGCTGCTTCACCCACCTACTCACCAAGTGAATCTTGTGGCCAGAACCTCAAGGGTTGCAACAAGTGGGTGGGGCAGTGCCACAGTGACTCTGGCCTCAGGCCAGCAGGTGGCAGAGCTGCCGGACATCTGGCTTTCCCTAGACCACTGGGCTGCTTCTGCTGGGATTGGAAGTGGCCCGGAGTCTAGCTAAGTCTAAGTTATTGTTTCTTCTCCTGATAACACTTGATGTTGTATTTATTCGTCTGCCTGCTCTACAGTGAAATGACAGCTGGCCTTCTCAGAGGGTGGACAGATCATAGATCACCTCCCTGCAGGGTCTGGCCTCTCCTGGTGTGTCCGCTGCTGGCCTGGAGGCCAGTGCCTCTCAGTCATGCCATAGTCTCCCCGCACTGTGGGCTGGCTGCAGTCTGGAGAGAACTGGGGGACGAGGAACCAGCTTCTGATGATCTTGGCTCCCGCCACCAACCTCTAGAAGGGCTGGGGGACTTTGTGCTGTGCTGTGCCCATGACCTGGAGTTGCCGTGTGCATGGGCATGTGTGTGCATGCACATATGTGTGCATTTGGTAAGTCCAGTACCTGGCAGAGCTAGGTCTAGCCAGCAGCCCTGCCAATAATCAGCTGTTCCTCCACCAGAGCAGGAAAACGGCTGCCTTGCTGGTTTCCCTGAGAGCTCTCCTGGGGCAGGGAAGCCTGCCCTGAGTCACCAACACTGGAGTCCTTGTCCTCTGTGCAGCTGTGTGTAAAGAGAAGGGGTGGGTTTGATCTGCAGCCGGCAGTCAGGTGATTTGCACGTGTACATACCCACATCTGAACCCTACTCATGTGCTACAGTGTGGACCAGGCACATGGAGCACTGGTTGAGGGGCCCAGGGCCAGCCCAGCCACCTGCCATGGGCACCCTGCTGCTCTGCCCCAGAGGGATGGGAGGGCACCCCTGTAGGACGGCTCTTCCTGCTGGGCGCTTGGCTGGGAGGTTTTGTTTGCAGGTCCCTGCCGTGGCCAGCGTGTGCCTGTCGTGGAGATGAGTGCTGTTTTCCGTTTTCATGACATCATGGTGTCACAGTGACAATGGAATAAAACCCAATGCAGGTGAACATGGCCATGATCATTTCTGGGGATGAGAAGGGCAGGAGGGATGGGCACTGGTGAGCTGGGCTGGGTGCCAATGGGTGGTGGGCACTCTGGGGGCTCTGTCCCAGATGCCACCGTGTGCTCCTATCTGGTGGGACACATGTCCTGCTGTCTTTCCCCAGGTTCGCTCCCGATTGAGGACGGGAGGCGGAGCTGGGCAGGGAGGGACTGGATATAGGCTGGGATGGTGGCATCAGGTGGGAAGCCAGGCCCCCCGAGGAAACCTGCAGATGCTGGCAGGTGGCTAGACAGGCCTCAGCCTTGGATCTGAGACCTCCTGCTTCTGGGCTCCAGGTCCTTCTCCCAACTCCCTGGCCCCCTCTTTCCCCAACCAGCCTTTGCTCTCCTGCCTCCCGAGTCATGACGCATTTGCACCTCCTCAGGGTGGGACTGCCTCAGAGGACAGGCCCCCAGGGATGGCTGGGCTGCTTGGCCCCTTGGGAGGCACTGAGCTCTGTGGAGCCTCGAGCCAGGCTGGCTCTGGGCTGGTGACTGGGTGGGCAGTCCCAGCACCTCCCACCCCACCAGGCGTTAAGCTGCCTACAAGAGTCCCTGAGTCCTCCCCATGGGCTTTGCCTCCCTTACTAAGCCCAGGGGAGGTGGAGCAGGGCGGCCTCCATATGTACTAGCTGTGGCCTGCCCAGACACTGGCTCTGCAGAGCAGCCCACTCTGTTTGGGAAAAGCCAGAATGGAGCCCAAGCTCTGGGCAGGGTGGGGGTCATGGCTTGTTAAAGGATCCCCAGAGGGCCAGCTGAGCTGGCACGAGAAGGGCCCACTCCCATGGCGTTCCCAGTTCTGACCCCAGATGCAAACCTTGCTCCTGGGAGGTGGCCTGCCCTGCTCTCTGCAACCCCCCGACACCCCCCATCTGGACCCAAGCCACTGTCCTGCAGGGAGGCCCTCTCATGTTCCCAGTTGGGCCGTGACTCAACCTAGGCCTTCCCAGGGGAGGTGGAGGAGGCATTTGCCATGAAACTGGGCAGGGAGGAGGCAGCCTCTGTCCCCTGGGGTGAGGGCTTCCCAGGGCCCCTCTGGCCTGCTCAGCTCTGCCAAGCCGAGCTCACACCCAGTCACCACCAGAGCCTTCTCCATAGCTGCTGTCCACTTCAGGGCAGTGTGGGCCTCCTAGCCCTTCCCTGGAGGCCATGCAGCCTGACCCGTTGGCTGGATGTAAACTGAGGCAGTGAAAGGGCCTAGCAGTGACCGTGGTGGCAAATTCAGGACTTCCCTTTCTTCCAGAAATGTGGGGGGTACAGGGACACAAAGCTGTCAAAGACCTGGGGCCTCCACTGAGACACTGCTCTGCAGGGCAGCAGGAACAAGGCCAGAGGAATGCAGAGGTGGCCTGTCAGGAGCCTCTGTGGGGATCACATAGAGACAGGCACCAGGCCGGGGCCGGACCAGGGCCAAGGTGCATCAGAGTAAGGAGTCACTGAACAGACGCAGCTTTGGGGTGAACCAGGGTGGCACGTGGCACAGCAATGGCTGCAGCCCTGGGAAGCCTGGCAGGTGTGCAGCAGGGAGCTCTGGGGGCCAACCCTTCCTTCTCCGCTTCCTCAGCCCCCGGCCCTGGGGTGGAGCTGAAGGGTGCTCCAAGTCCATCTGGTCTCTGCCTTTTCCAATTCGTAAATGGCACCAAATCCTTCCCTGGCACAGGGTGGTTCTACAGACACCCAAGGAACCTAGAGCAAATACACAGGGTGCAGATATGGTTCCACACCAGACCCTAGGAAGCACTGTGGAGTGGACACCAAGCCCTCTGGACCTCTGCCCTGGTCTTCCATAGCATCTCTCCTCCCAAGTCAGTCCCACCTTCTCGTCACCAGTATGACCATCACCTCCACTTCCATGTCCTCTACCCCTGCCACCATCAGCTCCACCAGCATCATCAATACCTTCATCACATCCATTACCACCACCACCACCTCCATCCTATGACCTTCACCCCCATCACCTCCATCATGAATACCTTCACCTCCGTAACCACCACCACCACCTCTACCTTCACTTCCATTTTCACTACCACCACCATCACTTCCACCTTCTCCACTTCAACCTCCACCTCTATCACCTCCACCTCCATCACCTTTACCACTACCACCATCATCTCCATCACTACCAATACCTCCATCACCTCCACCTCCACAACCCCAACCTCAACCTCCATCATCTTCACTGCCACCACCATCACTACCTTCACTCCCATTTCTACCACCACCATCTCCACCACTACTTCCAACACCTCCACCACCACCACCACCTCAACCTTCACTTCCATAACTTTCACCACCACCACCATCACTTCTGCCTCCTCCATCACCTCCACCATCAATACCACCATCACCTCCACCCCTATCACCATCACTGTACCTTCACCACCACCACCTCCACCACTTCCATCACTTCCACCGTCACCTCTGCCAGCTCCATTACTACTTCCATCACTGCCAGTACATCTGCCGTCATCTCCACCCCCAGCACCATCACACTACCACCACCACCCACCTCTTCATCACCATACCTCCATCACCACCAGCACCATGACTGCCACCACCACCCATCATTACCACCACTGTCATCATCACCACCACTACCTCCACCTCAGGCCATAGCCCCCAGCTCTGTGGATGAGTCCCTGACTCTGGGCCAGCCTGCAAGCTAAGGGAGTTGTTTTGTGTATCTTCAAACTGGGGAGCAGCTGAAGAGAGGAGTGACCACCCTCCTCACCTTGTGGGGCCACAGGATTTGCACTCCCTCCGCCTTCAGGTTCCAGGAGTCTGTTCAGCAGCTCTGCACCTGTCCCTCGTGCCCCACCACCCCGTACTGAGCAAAGGAGGTCCTCAGCCCCGTGAAGCAGGCCTGTGCCTCCCCTTGTGGATAGCCACTGTCACCTCCTGGCACACACCTGGCAGGGGCCTGCTGATCGTGGCAGCTCCTGTGGCATGCAGGGCCACCTGTGTGTCCAGCCACCATGCTACTTCCTGTTTCCTGCCTCAGTGTCCTCACCTGTCAGCGGGGTCAGTGGAGGGGGAATGCCTGTGAGCTCACAGGGCATGAAGGATGGCCCCTGCCCAGCGCCCTGCAGGCCTTCACAGGTCAGAGCGGGGCCCAGGCTGAGGAGATGGGCAGCAAGGCCCTCCCCGGGCGGTGGTCTCCTGGGTCTGCTCCGAGGGCTTGTGGAGGCTGCCGTTGGAGGACTGTTGCTGCTGGCCTGCCTGGAGAGACCCACCCCTTAGGGAGTCGCTGGCTCCTGTCTCCCTCGCCCTCTCTCCTGCAGCTGTGGCAACGGCTGGGCGGCTGAGGCCGTCCCAGGCTCCAGGCTGGCAGTGGCAGAACACACTCCCGGGGAGCTGCCGGGGGCTGCTGGCTGGGGTGAGCAGAGGTGGCCCAGGGGCCTAGGGCCACCTGAGACCCCAGGTCATGGTGACAGGGCCTCAAGGCAGGCCCACGCACCCAGCTCTGGCCCAAGCCCCAGGTGACCCCTGAGAGACTCCGTGGACCTAGGCATCCAGGACTTGCCTTTCTGAACTAGACCCTAGAGCGAGGGTGCCCACTTCTCACCTGACCAGGGGCCACAGGCAGGGCGACCTGGACAGGCCCATGGCCCTGGAGGCTGGAGTCCGTCCTCGTGTTGGCAGGAGGGCTCCCACCGAGGCCTCGCCCGGCTTGCCAGGCTTGTTCCTTGGCACCCTGGCCTCCTGTTCTGACAAGGACCCCCGTCACATTGGATCAGTGCGGCCCATTTTACCTTGATCACCTCTCCAGGTCCCACTTCCAAACACAGCAGGGCGAGGTCGGCCGCAGAAGGCCAGCTCCAGCTCCCAGCAAGAGCCAGGCAGGAGAGGGCTCTGCCCTGCCACGGGAGCAGGGCCACTGGGTGCAGGTGTGTGGCTCGGGTCCCACAGACACCTCCCAGAGGAATGTACAGGTGGCTGATGAGCACGCAGGGGAAACAGTCACTGTCCCTGGTCACCAGGAAATGCAAATTAGGACCCCAAGGAGCGACCACTGCATGCAGCCCCCCCCCCCCCCGGGGTTGATGACAGCAGGGAACAGCACAGTATGGAGCTGGGGCGCCCCCTGCTGTGGGGGTCTCCAGGTGGCTCAGCCGCATTGGAAAGGGACCAGAAGTTGTTTCTGGGCGGGGGATCTGACCTCGAGCATCACCCTTGCTAGGCAAGTGCTCCACCACTGAGCCGCAGCCCAGCCCTTTGTCTCCTGCCTGGGTTCTCTCCCCCTGGCACCACCTCCACCCCCTCTGCGCCCCTGCCTTCAGGGGGGCACTGTGATGGGTTTTCTGTGGAGACTTCGATGTTTCTTTTCGAGAATAAAAGCAAATATCATCCCCCATCTTCACCCCTAAAAGGTAGTGTGCTGACGCGTCTCCACGCCTCGCCGGTCTCCCTTAGAGCACCTGCGCCCCCGGCACGCAGACCCTCCTCGGCCCTCCCTCTCTGTACCCCTGCACGGCGTGCTTCAGGGTGAGGGGTGCCCTGTGTGCTTCCAGGTCACATGGGCACTTCTAATTCCCCGGAGGGCACGGGCTGCCTCCCTCCAGGTCGCCCTCTCTCCACTTCCCCAGCACCCGATCTCCTGCAACTTGCCAATGTTACCAAACTCACAGTTTTTTCAAAACCCGTGAGGCAAGAAACAGTAGCTGAGTGTCATCTCGATTGACACTTCTCTGATGATGAGACTCGATATCTTCTCCTTGGTGACTCCGCAGGGCCCTCTGCCCATTCTCCTGCTGGGTTTTCCTCTCCGACCTTACAGATCCACCGACTTCTAAGACACTTTGTGGTTTTTCTGATTTTACATTCTCATCTCTGATCCTTTGGTCAACAGCGGCAGAGGGTCCAGTGTGGCTCTGAGGTGGTGTCACTTGGATGAGCATGTCATCAGCATCTCTACCGGCTGACCATAGCCAGTCCCTCCACGCCCTCCACGCCCT